GACCCTAATTCCGTGGCACTTCAAGCTTAACCCAGTGCTTTCCTCACATTTCCCAATGCCACCCACACTGCATTCTCTGGTGACGAATGTCTAGATGCAAGCTTGGCTTGTACAATCCAGATAAGTCACATAGACTGGAGCTGTCCACGGATGTCATCAGCCGTTGCTTCCCCATTTCTGATGTATGCTGAGTGGGGGTATTGGAGCAGCACGAGCCAAAACCCCAGGCCAAACCTCAAAGCCATAGCCACTCCCCCATACCCCATGATAATGGCACAAGGGAAGAAGGCCCCAAACCAACACCACAGGAACCACAGCCCCAGGCTTCCCAGGGTCTAGCGGCTTCTCCCCTGCCACTAAATCTAACCAAAGACTCTAACCACCGTCCCTCCTCACCATGATGACACCCCATCCCCTTTCATTTCCACCTCTGTCTAAGGTAAGCTAGATCTCTGCTCCACTTCAGCCCCCCAGCCCACTATCCTCTTCCCAACAGTCAATGGTTGGGACCATCTGCCCTGTCATTGAGCTTCAAGGTCCCCTAGGCTTTGTTCTTTTCTGCTGATTTGCCCTCCAAGCCCCAAGGACCATCTGGTTTCCATCTACTCCATATTCAAACCTTCCTATATATGTTGTCTCCCCTAAGACCTCCTTGAGAGTAAGAATTGTCTGTTTTCCTATTTATATTCCCTGCACTTAACAGTATTTAATATAATATAATAATAATAACTGATATTTATATAGTACTTTAAATATTACAAAGTGGTTTACACATATGATCTCATTTTAACCTCCAACAACTTTAGGAGGTAGGTGGTATTATTATCACCCCCATTTTAAAGGTGAGGAAACTGAGGCAGAGAGAGGTCAAGTGACTTAGCCAAGAGGATTTGAGCTTAGGTCTTCCTGACTCCAAGTCCAGGGCTCTATCCACTGCACCACCTAACTGCCTACTATGTGTTTGGCACACGGTGAGTGCTTTGTAAAGGTAGAGTTTTTTTTCCTTTTCTATTACATTCCATGCAATAAAAGCTAGTCTCTATATCTGCAAGTCACTTGTACACCGACAGCTAACCTTGAGAGATAGCACGGCACAGTGGAAAGAGCCTTGGCCCTGGGGGAAGTCACCTAACATCTCTGGGTCTCAGTTTCCTCATTTGTAGAATGACAGGATCCGACTAAACAGATTCCAAAATCCATTCCAACCCCAGACCTACAATCTATGATATCTGCATCTCAGTATCCCTAGTTTCTCCTCCCTCCCCCAAAAAAATCCCCATGCTATCAGCTCCCATGTACTTTAGCTGTTCCCCACCTTGGAAAAGATTGGTTCAGGGAACCACATTAGGCATGGCAGCACCTTCTACCTCACCAGACCATCATGTTCTGAATTAGGAAGGCAGAAAAGTATCTCAGGTAGAATTTTTGATTTAGGTTTAAAGGACCCTAGTTTTGAATGCCCCTTCCATTTCATCATCTTAAATCCCACCTCATTAAAAATACAAAGTCAGTCAAAAAGCATTTATTAATCACTTCTTAGGTGTGTGCCAAGCACTGTGCTGTGCACAGTGGGGATAAAATAAAAGGCAAAAACAGTCTTGCCAGCAGGGAACTGACATTCAAATGAGGAAGACAAAATGTGAATAGCTAGGTGCAAGATATAGTCAGAGAACATGGAGGAATCTCTGAGGGAAGCCACCAGCAGTCAGATTAAGAAAGGGCTCCTACAGAAGGGACATCCAGAAGGATTTGAACTAAGAGGAAGGAAATCAGAAAAAGGCCAGGAGAGCCTGATTATAGAAGGTGTGGAAGAGAGGAAAGTGAAAAGCAGAAAAAGACCTTTATATTTGATCCTGGAGCTAATGGGGAGCCAGTGGAGTGGACTGAATGAGGAGTAGGAGGGTGGGGCTGTGATTATGGGCACACTTAATGCTTTAAGGAAATCAGATTACAGGAGGAAAGATGAGACTAGGACACCAGTTAGAAGACTAGTAACAATAGTGCAGGAGAGGAATGAAGTAGGGCTTGAATTAGGGGGGTGTCTGGGTGAGTAGCGAAGAGGGGGCAGATAAGATGAATGTTTTGAGGGTAGAAACAACAAGATTTGGCCACAAACTTGGTAACAAACTGTGGGTGAGAGTGAGGAATCAAGGGTGATACCAAGGTTTCAAGTCTGGGTGAATGGGAAGATGGCAGAGTTTGGTAGAACAGATGGTCTCCTCCACTGCTGTCAAAACCATTTGGTGTCCTTGGATAGGAGGCTTTCTCTAGAAAGATTACCTCACCTCTGCTGTCTTAAATCAAATGGACCACTTAATTGTAAAAATATTTAGTCATCCCCCTCTTTCCTGCCCTTCAATAGGGAGTGTTTGTTTCCCCACTCAAATTACAAATGTCACCAGCTGAAAGGCAAATGTTCCCTTAGAAGCCACCCCCACCCTGATTTGGTCCTTTCTTTCCTGTATTCCTTCTTCAAAAGGCTCAAACTGGCTCGAGAAAGCTGATTGTTAAATTTTAACTGATAGCTCTAAAATAGGCAACTTCTACAAAGCAAGGCTCGATTTATTATTTTGCTGATTGTCAAGACTTAAGAAAGTGAGGGGACAGCTAGGTGGTGAAGTGGATAGAGTGCCGGGCTTGGAATCAGGAAGACTCAACTTCATGAGTTCAAATCCAGCCTTAGACACTTACTAGCTGTGTGACCTTAGACAAGTCACTTAACCCTGTTTGCCTTAGTTTTTCATGTGTAAAAAGGGCTGGAGAAGGAAATGGCAAACCACTTCAGTATCTTTGTCAAGAAAACACCCGGAGTTGGATGGGACAGAAATGACTCAACAACAAAAAGAAAGTGGGAGAAAAAATATTAATAATGTGAACAAAACCTAAAAGAGTGATCTATGTACTTTTATTTTTCAGAGAGTCCATTGAGGTTTTTTTTGTTTAGTTTTGTTCTTTCTTTTTGTTTTTTGGTTTGCTTGTTTTTTTTTCAGAGAGCCAGTTGCTAAACATTTACTAGCACACTACTGGCTATTCACCATCTGACCTAAACTGTTACAGAATGCTGCTTGTTGACTATGTAATCTTTGCAGAGGGAGCTGGACATGGAGACGGGTTCTACTTAAAGAAAGACTTGTCCTTGGTCTAGAATGTCATTTTCCATTATGTGGCTCCCTAAGCTAGTTTAGAACAAACTTTCTCATTTCATTCCAAGGATAAAATGAGATGATATTTGAAAAGTACTTTGCAAACCTTAAAGCACTATATAAATGCTACCTAAGTACTATTTCCAATTGATCTCTGAAGTTATTTGTCCTCTACTCTGCAGATGTGCCAGTGGACAAGATTTTCTCAAACCAGATTTTGTCAACCCAGGCTGAGACATTCCTCAATAGTAATAGGAAAGCTTAGAAAACAGGAGAGTTTGAGTTTGAAATTCCAACAATTCAAAATATATAGAAGGCAGTTGGTGATGCAAGAACAGAGCTCAGGAAAGAGACAAGGATTGGATCTGGGAATTATCTGTCGTGATGATCATTGAACTCATGGAAGCTAATGACTATGGATCTCACAGGATTATTGTGAGGAAAGAGCGCTACAAACTCTGATGCAATTTTTACATGTTTCATTATGATTAGGATTAGGATTACTTCTGCCCCTGTGAAGTGATACAAGCATTATTATCCCCATTTTACAGATGAGCAAACTGAAGCTCAGAGAGAAGTGACTTGCTCAGGGTCACTCAACTAGTAAGCATTAAATTGAAGATTTGAACCTAGCTCTCCTAATCCTAGGGCCAAGACTTTATTTCAATTATACCACACTACAGTGTGGGGAAAAGAATGAGAGGAGGAAAAAAAAAACCTTATGGAATGATGACTTTCCTTTGAACCAGGTGGTTTCCAAACATGGAGGCATCGAGGCCTTACTTCTGCATGAAAGGGTCATGGATGACTAATGCTTGAGCTCTGGAAGTAGACTGGGCTTTTATAAACCACTTCCTACCCCCTCTCCCTCTCTCTCTCCCAGCTCTTCAACTTTTCCTCTGTCTCTATTAGCCATCAAACAAATAATAGGGCCTCACCCACCAAGTTCCTTCATTCTGCACAAATTGTAACGTACTGAACACTTGAGCAAAATGTCAAGTTCACATGTATTTATGTGGGGGTGGGAGAGAAAGAAAGTAGAGAAAAAAAACAAAGCCAGAGAGTTGTTTTTTTTTAATCAAGTGGTTTATTATTTTTTTCAGGAGTAGAAATGTAAGGTAGTGAAATGATCATCAAATTACCTAATAGAAAATGTTCCATAATGGCAAGGAAAAAGCCAAAAATATCTGATCTTTGTGAGTCTCCCACACCAAGCATCAAGGTTTCCAAGCCTGTGGTTTGGGGGCTTCACAATATCAAGCCATTTCAGAAAATTGAGGCACAAAGAGTTGCTTAACAGCATTAGGGAAGGGTCTGAACAAATGAATGAGGTTAGGGCTTGCGGGTGGCACAGCAGGGTGGAGCTAGAAACTCTATGGAATAACAATTTTTAAAACATGCCAAATTATTTTAAGTCTAAGTGAGTACAGACTAATCCACAAGACAAACACCTCTATGACAGATTAGACTAAAAGTTGTCTTGGGAGGGAAAATGGATAGCATAGTAAAAGCTTTATTATCTAGCCTATTGGAAGAGAAGGTTTTCATAAAAATTTCCATTAACTATGCATTTCAGGGGGCCCGTCCAACCCCGCCTTTGCCCTCCATTCCTTTCCTTGCTTTCCCTCCCAAGGCCTGTAAGTGAGAGAAAGAGCAACAATCCACCCAATGCCAAAGCAGGGATGATGGATGGGAGCTTCTGGCAAATGCAGTAACCTCATCATAGCTGGACCATTCTATTCCCATTAGGTGGTCTTGCTGGATAGACATATAAATCAATTAATTAATAAGCGTTTATTAAGTGACTACTTCTGAGCCAGGCAGTGGAGTTATAAAGACAAAAATAAAACAGTCCCTGCCCTCGAGGAGCTTACATTCCATCAGTGGGGTGACACATGCACATACAAATACATACAAAATATGTACTGAGGGAATCCAAGAAATAGCAGTTTCTGGAGCTTTCCAATTGGCAAAGAGCTAGATGACATGTCTTTTACAGAATTCTCAAGCCATCTCATGTCACTAGAACATCATTGGGGTAAGGTTGAGCATCCTTGCCAGTATGGTATTAATTTCCCCATCACATGCTGTGCAACCGCTTTTTTAAAAATCAAAGTCCTAAGTATAGATAATGTTGCATCAGTGAAGATGGAGAGGAAAGAGGAATCGCCATGGCTTGGGGCCTGGCAGAATGCACTTGTAGATTGGGTCTCTGAAGATAACAGAAAGTAGAGATCACATATATCCCCCATACAGCCACTCAGATCTTAATTCAAGTTTAGAAAATGAGTAATCTTCCCACCCCCCATCCAAAACTCTTTGCAGCTTTAACTAATCTCCCCTCATTCTGGTTTCCAGTCAGTTGGATCTTCTGTTGATTATTCTCTTCCCTGCCAACATCCTTTTCTTCCTCCCCTGCACATGCCTCCCACTGAAACCATGAGGGCGGATCTTCAACTCCACAAAAGGGATGGAGAATTCATGTCCTTTCCATGGCTCCCAGTTCACCCCCTAGAGGAAAAAAAAAGCCAAGAAGACCCAGGGGACTTAGAAGACAAGAAGGGACAATGGATAAAGACCGTTCTTTGCTGGCTAAACCATGTCCTGTTTGTCATAGAATGGTAGAAGAAAACAAAGAAAGTGTGGTACAGTGGAGACCAGTACTGGAGACTAGTCTCTGGCAGGAGATCAGAATTCTAATCCTAGCTTTGCCTACAGCTTAGGCAAGTTCACATCACATCTCTGGACCTCAGGTGTCCTTTGTCTAAAATAAAAGCACCAACTTAGCTGCTTAAAGGAAGAGGGCTGGCCAGATGACCTCCAGAGGTCCATTCCACCTCTATCATTGGGGCAACAAGGAGGCACAGTGGATTATCTGTGGAACTTGGAGTTAAGAAGACCTGAGTTCCTACTCTGTCTCAGACACTTACTACCTGGGCAAATATCTCTGGGCCTCAATTTCCTCATTTGTAAAATTAGGGGGTTGGATTCAATAGCCTCTAAGGTCCCTTTTAGACATTACATGATCTAAGCCATAATTAGAGGGTGTCTGATATGGAAGATGAGGACTTTGTCTCCAAAATGTATACCTTCTTTGAGAAGTCTTAGCCTAATCCGAATGATACTTGGAAATGGAGCTGCCTTCTCACTCCCTGTAGAAGCCTCAGTAGATCTCAGTATGAGCAGAGTGGTAAAGCAAATTGGGGGGAGAATCTGTGGAATCTTCTGCCACCAGTTCAAAGTCTTATGGAGAGAGAATATGTGATTCCAGTAGAGAAAATAAGCATTTAAACAGGGGTGATAAGGTTGAAAGGGACCTTAGGGACACTTTGTTCAATTCCTTCATTTTATAGCCAAGGAAACTGAAACCTCAGAGAAGTTAGTGACTTGTCCAAAGTCCCATAGATTGAAAATGGTGCCCAGGGTTCCGTCTCTATATCCAACACTCTTTCCAGTTCACCATGCTGCTTCTGTGGCAGATGGGTCAACTTTGACATAGAGGAACAATTCTGTTTGACTGGTATCGGATTTAAGCTTCCCTTTCCCAACCCTAGGACACATACATACACACACACACACTCACACTCACCCAAACAAAGGGGAGGGGCATTAATTATTGAAACACTCTTATTGGCAAGTTGTGTAAAATCAGTTTCATTTCAGATTGCTGCTTTTCTCCTCTGGAGAAACAAATAGATCACTAAAAACTAAATTCCGTTTTCTGTCATTTGACTGGTGAGTTCAATAATATTCAATTCGCTTAATAACCTTGTGACCTGGCCAACGGATGACCCAAGTGACCATTTTTATGTATTTTAATTTGTGAGGTAAATAATAAATAAGAGTTAAATACCTTGCAGCCTGTGAGGCAAACCCATTAACCAGATGAATGGCTTTCATTAGTGAATCTAGTGAGGGCTTAAGGCATGCTAGTGGCTTATTCTAAATACCTGCTCAGAGGCTCAGACTTCACTGCTCTATCTTCATCATTCAGTGCCTTGGCCCTTTCATTGCTGAGTGCCTAACCTCCCAATCCGTGGATTGGGAGGAACCCTGGTCAGGCCAGTACTAGATAAATCAAAGTGGAATGAAGAATCTGACCTTCAAATAGTTGGCAAAGTGTTTTATTCCCATTCTATCTTTGCTCCTCCTTTTCACTCATTCTCCATTGCAGCCAAGCTGGCCTGCTCGCTGTTCCCCTCGCTCGGCACTCCTTCTCCCACTTCTGTGTCATTCCCTAGTTAGATTCCCTTCCCCTCCTCATCGCCATGCCTTTAGAATCCTTAGCTTCCTTGAAAGCTTCAAACCTCAGGAGCCAGCTTCTACAGGAAGCCTTTCTTGATTTAATACTTTCACTTTCCTTAAATTATATTGCATTTAGGTACTTAAAAGATGTATCCTTGAAGATAAGAGTTGCTTTACAATTTTATCTTTGTGCTTTGTACATAGTAGGTGCTCAATAAGTGCTTATTGCATTAATCTTCACAAACCCAGAGAGCAGCTATTATTTTCCTTGTGTGGAACTGAAGCAGAGAGGTGTTAAGTGACTTGGGCAAGGTCACCTAGTTAATAAGTAAGGTAGTATTCAAATCCTTATCTGACTCCAAAGCCAGTGCTCAAGATCCTTCACATAACAACTGCTAATGATGATGTTTGTGGAAAAGAGACCTAGGAAAAAGGATTGGAAACGGCCAGTGCTAACATACAGAGCTAGACCCAGGACATACTAGGTATGAAGATGGGTGCTAATCAGAGACGCGAATGGAACAACCAGTGAAGAAATCTTGAGAGCACAGGAGGGCAGAGGACTCTCTCTCCGACACTAGCCTGGGTTGGGCGCCCATGAAAACAAGAAACTGGTTCAGAGAAATTCCATGGGTAACACCCAGGGGAGCCTCTGAGTCAGAGGCCAGGTGGTTTGGAAGAAAGCAATTTCATGAGCTCAAATAGAAAAGACCTTGTTTTCTGAGGCCTCCAAGAACCTGAGAGAAATAGTTGTAGCCTTGAACAAAGTACTAAGTGAGGGTAAGACAGGAAGGGGAATGAGACACCACTATGAAAGCTTGATTCATATTTAAACCCCTGTGAGGGTGAATTCAGTATACATTGTCACATTGTATGTCTTCCCAAATTTGTACATAATTTGTCCCCCAAGCTCACCCTTGAATTTTAGCAGAAAAAAAAATATGTGCACTTTAAATGCCTGACTCAACTGTTTAGGCTGATGGGATCATGCAGGAAGAAAGGTACATATCCCAGGAAGAGTGTGGGGAAGGGTCCAGGTCCCAAAGGCACAGTCTTTGGAGTGAGGTTGGCAAGAGATTAGCCAAGCAGTAGCAAAAACCAGCCTAGAGGATTTCTGTTTAGGAATAGCCTCTCAATCAATTCTTTTCAACAATCTCATAAGCCTACTATATGCTAAGTATGACAGTAGGTAGGTTTCAGGATTCAAGGACCAAAAGGAAACAGTCCCTGTCTTCCAGGAGTGTATATTATAAGCAGGGGGTAGGGGAAGGGAAAAGAGGTGGAATACAAAATATGCATAGATAAATACATGCAAAAAAAGGAAAACATGAAATAAATACAAAGTAATTTGGGGGCAAAGAGATCACCAACTACTGAGGAATCAGGAAAGACTTTTCGAAGAAAGTGACCCTTGAGCTGAGCCTTACAAAGAGCTAAGATTGGTAGAAAGCACAGATGAGGAAAAAGAACATTCCAGGTTCAGGAAACAGTACGGACAAAGGCACGAAATGGGACGTGGAATGTTCTGCACAAAGAGTGGCCAAGTAAGCTGATCTGGCTGGAATGCTAAGTGCATAGGCAGATTCATTTGTAATCAGCCTGGAAACACCATTGGAAGGAAAACTATGAAGGGCTTTAAATACCAAACAGAAGATGTTGTAGCTTCTCCTAGAGGCACTAGGGATCCCCTTCATGAGCCTCAGAGTGACCTAACCAGACCTGTGTATCATTCTCTGGAAGTAAGGAGGAGGTCTCTCTGAAAGAATATGTCTGAAGCTTACCTCACTGTGCTTGGTTTCTCCGTATCGGCCGTTGGGGTTTGCCAGGTGGCAGTTCTTATACCACCAGCCGCCATGATGTGTCAGGGCACAGTTGCTGAGAGCAATATCATTGTCTCTGTCAAAGGTGGTGAATTTCCATCCATTGTGGTAAGAGAGAGCATCACCTGCAGGGAAGAGACGAAAGCAGAAAGTCTCAGAAAGGTACCTAAAGGGCTGACGTACTTTGGTCCATAAGGAGAAAAGCATTAGAACATCACAGGATTATAGATTTATAGCAGAAATGAACCAGAAAAGCTACCTAGTATAAGTCCCTTACTTTACAGATGAGGAAACTGAGATCCAGGTTAAGGGACTTGCCTAAGGCCACACGGACATCTTTAAGTACCATGCTCTACAAATGACAGGTGTCCTTTTGGTTAGTTTTTGGCCAGATGGTTCTTTGCTACAGATGTTACCAGATAGCTTGGAGAAGGAGGAAAAGCATTCTTTTCAATGTATGCCTATAGCTTTTTTTTTTGCATTCACAGTCTAGTTCTATACTTCTACCAGACATTTTTACTTGAGTGATTCTCCATCACCTCAAACTCAACTTATTTCAAAAACAAGTTAACCCAATTTCACTCCAAATAAGGATCTCCCCTGAATGCCCCTTCTGACAATGCCATTATTGTAAGGTCATTGGATCGTAAATTTTGAGTTGGAAGGAGCCTTAAAGGCCATCTGTTTATCATCTATTACCTTGCTCATTTGTTGTTTTGTTGTTTACTCGTTTTCAGTAGTGTCCAACTTTTCATGACACTGTTTGTAGTTTTCTTGGCAAAAACACTGGAATGATTTGCCATTTCCTTCCCCAAATCATTTTACAGATGAGGAAACTGAGGCAAACAGGGTTAAGTGACTTGCCCAGGGTCACAGAGCTAGTAAGTGTCTGAGGCCAGATTTGAACTCAGGGAGGTGAGTCTTCCTGATTCCAGGCCCAGCATTCTATCCATTGTGCCATCTAGCTGCCCCTACCTTGCACACAGTAGGCATTTAATAAATGTTTGTTGTATGGAGTGGAATTGAATAGTACTCTGGCTCTAAACCATAAAAGGATGCTTGCCTCATCCCTCATATATATATCCAATATCTCATATCTTCTCATACTCATAGCTTGGTCTCCATTCTACTCTATACCTACTACCATTACCCTAATCTAGACCTTTATTACTACTCCTATATTATTATAATAGCTTCTTGGATAATCTCCCAGACTAAAACATTCCTACCTCACCTACATCACATCCACATCAATCCATCCTAGATCCCTGTGCCCAATTGTCTACCTTAAAAACTTATTTTCATCATGTTTCTCCTAGAGTCATATGATTTAGCTAGGTTACACAGGGCCTAGAACATGGGAATAAGAGTCAGGGACACCTGAGTTCAAATCTGTCCTCAGACAGAGGCCTTAGAGTTCCCAGATTCTGTTTATCTTCCCTCTTCTGAAAATCGGACTAATGTTCGCTCTTTTCCAGGCCTGTAGCACCTTTCCCATTCCCTGGAACCTTTCAAAGATCATTTACAGTGCCTCAGCAAGCACCTTTGCCACTTTCTCCAATCCCTGCCTCAATCGGGGCTTGGTGACTTGAGCTCACTGAGAGCAGCGGGGGCCTGCTCTCTCACCATCTTCATGCCATCTCAGATTTCAACTCTCTATAATCTGCATTCAGTGTATCATTTCCCATCCAAAAATCATTCTCGTGGGCAGAGAAAAGACAAAAGAAGGCCTGAGCACACTTTTTGTCCATTATCATCTTCCCATCTTCCTCTTTTCCCTAATGCAGCTAAAAACTCTCTTTGTTGTCCATAGCATTCCTCATTAGCCTTATCTCATCAGGAGAATTAGGATTCCTGACATTTTTTCTTATAGGATCACGACACAGTTTTGTATTACTCCTCTATAGCTCTCTTTCATCTTTTGTGCATGTCTTTAAAAATCTAGGTTGGTTGGTGAGCGCCTTTGTCCAATCTCGTTAGTCTCTTCTAGACAATCCTTCCTTTTCCTCATCATCTGAGTCATCAAAGAGAAGCTCTTTGCAGCTTCAGAATTTCATTCTTAAGAGCTTCTCCTCCCCCTGTACTGACTTTTGTGGTAAAATTTAAATCAATGGGATTGGCATCCTTTACATTCTGTCCTTGTAGTATTTAGAATGCATGTCAGAGATGTCTGCCTCTATCAAATTCTAGCCTATTCTGTCACACAAATAACATACTATTTTCTCTCCAAGCCTTTGCTCCTGTTTCTCTCTTCTCTTCACCTTTCAAACCCCAAACATCCATCAAGGATCAGCTTGAGCCTCCCTTCTCTCCATGAAGCCTCCTCGATTAGTCCAGCTCTTATTAAATGTTCAAACTCCTACATCAGACTGGTACCTACTATGTGTACCAGTACCTACTATGTGTACCATGGTACACAGCTCAATTTTTGATGATGTTCTGTCAGGTACTTGATTACTTTTTTTAAATTAGTCTCATTTGACTGTTACCTTTACCACCCCTTTACAACTTTAGACCCTCGCTTTGAGATCCCTATGATTATTTATCTTTATACTTAGTTGGGTTGGTGACCTCACAGAATGGGTATTCCCTTTATTCATGCAACCAATCAATGAACAAGCATGTTAAGAGCCTGCTATGTGATATGCAATGGGATATAAGGAGAAGGAAGGAAGGAAGGAAGGAAGGAAGGAAGGAAGGAAGGAAGGAAGGAAGGAAGGAAGGAAGGAAGGAAGGAAGGAAGGAAAATGAAGGAAGGAAAAAGAGAAAAAGAAAGACAGAGGAAGAAAGACAGAAAGGAAGAAAGGAGAAAGAGGCCTTTCCTGATCCCCCAGTTGCCAATGCCTTCCACCCAAAATTATCTTATACTTACATTGTATATATTTTGTACAGACTTACATGTATACATGTCATTCCCTTGAAAGAATGAAAACTCCCTGTCTTTGCAGTTCCATAGCTTGGTATGGTACCTGGCATAACGTAGGTGCTGAATAAATCTTGACTTATTGATTGATTGATGCCATGCCTGGAACTTAATAAATGTTCACTGATGGATGGATGATGACGTAAGCCTCTGCTCCCTCCCCAAATCCGTGGCAGGCAGTAGCCAAGCTGTCAGACTCGAGAGCGAGCCTGGCGTCCTTACCTGCGGTGCCTCTGTATTTCCCCACTGTCAGCTTGTATCTGTCCTTGCTAGAAGCCACTTGGAAAAAATCATAGACTGCATAGGCAGACTCATTTGCTGTCTGTAAGTCTATGCGCACTTCATATCGAACTGGTGTTCCAGTGGTAAGATTGTGTAGTTTCTCGAGCCCTGAAATAAGGAATAAGAGTTCAATTAATCCACCATTCATTGAAGAAATTGGTACTGCACCCTGACAGCCAAGACACCTTGCAGTATCTGAGGCTCATCATATAACACCAGTCTGCTTTGCCTTTCACCCTAAAATGTATTTCCCCATATGATGGGGAAAGAGTAGAAAGGAGAGGGTAAGCAAGGAAGGATTTCAGGGGTTCAGGCCAGCATTGATTAGTGACCTCCTTGGGCAAGCTACCTTCCAGCGGTCTAATCTTTCAAATGAAAGATATACTATTTGTCATCCATTTAACTCCCCAAGTAGCACATGCATTAACTAGTAAAGCATTAGAAGGATGTCGCAGCTAAAGGGATAGCAAATACTATCAATTTTGTGTTTAATCAGGGGCTAAGGATCCAGTCTGTAGATCTTTGAATTCTCCAACCAAGTGCTCCTCACTTTCTGGGCCCTTTCATTACTCGTTAGCACCTTCACCACAGCTGAGGCAGGAAAAAGGCAAGGAGATAAAATCCTTCTAATTACTGACATCAGTAAGGGGCCTCAGGGAACACTAAAATTGCTAGAGGGACATTGAATCCATTGTTCTCCCAACTCTTTCTGTCTCTTTCCACAGAGCTGGCATTTAACTTTCCTTGGGCTCCAGCCAAATGATAAAGACTGAAACACTGGAAGAAATGCTGCTTTCGTAGTACCTATCCCCAGCTTTCTTCCAAGCCCACAGTATCAGAAAATCTGACCAGAGGCCTCACCATATGGGCACTCTGATTCATAGACACTACAGGTTCAATACTGTTTGGACCTGCCTCTGAACTCTGGGTGCTTCAAGCTGCCCAGCCTTTCAAGGTAAGGATCATCCACCCATCCATTCCCTAAAAACTGTTAGAGCTCATACCAAACCAGAACTCCCTCATGGGATCGCCAAAACCTTCCACATAGTGCCTCCAACGCTTGAAGAAGTCCAGCTGCCCTGTGTTTCGTCTCTGAAATACCTGTCATGGGAGAAAAAAGTACATGACATTTCCCCCCTTAAATATATAGATTTAGTTCTATAGATGTTGTTTGTGTTCGACTCGTATCTGACTCTCCATGACCCCTTCCTTCCTTCAGGGTTTTCTTAGCAAAGATACTGGAGTGGTTTGCTATTTCCTTCTCCAGCTCATTTTACAGATGAGGAACTAAGGCAAACAAGGGTGAAGCAAAGTGACTTGTCCAAGGCCACATAGCTAATAAGTTTCTGAGGCTGGATTTGAACTCATAAAGATGAGTCTTCCTGACTCCAGGAGCCCAGGGTTCTATCTTCTGTGCCATTTAGCTGCATATATATATATATATATATATATATATATATATATATAATATATATATATATATACATATATATATACATATATATATATATATATGCATATATACACACACATACATATATATGTATGTATGTATGTATGTATATACACATACACATATATACACATATGTATGCATACATACATATACTTGTGTGTTGTATATGTGTGTGCATATATATGTCTTTGTGTGTGTGTCTGTGTGTGTGCATGCATATGTGTATAAAAACTGAGTATGGAAAAGAAATAGCACCCACATTACCTGAGGTACTATTGAGGGGGAAAGGAATAAAGATTATTATCTACAGACTTGTTGGTATTCTCTTCTGTTTCTCGTATCATTATTATTTATGGTAGCTATTTTTAAAGTACCCGTTGTGTGCCAATCATTGCACTGGATAGTGGGATGCCTAAAACAATGAGATTCACATTCTCTATCCTTAACGATTTCACGTTATCAGGAAGTCAGAGAGAAGATCAGGAGGAGTTTGGGTTGTGGGCAAGGAAAAAACATTCTTAATTTCTTCCTCTGAACTCTTGGGCCTTTGAACATCTGCACAACCCACTGAGGCACTTAATCATGTGTCGCCTGTATTATCTAGTTATTACATACGGGTTTCTCTTTTGGGGGTACAATTAGATCAAAGGTCATTGATTCTTTTGTGTATCACAGATCCCTTTGTCTGTCTGGTAAAGCCAGACTGGATCCCATCTCAGAATCATGTTGTTAAGTGCATAAAGTAAAATACATAGGATTAGAAAGAAAAACAACTATATTGAAAGAGTTATCAAAATATTTTTTTTAAAACAGATTCACAGACCCCAGAATCTGTTAAGAGCTTTTGAATCAAATTGATGCCAGAGACTCTGTGGGAGTTTTTTACATCCTCTTTATCACCTAGTATATTCAGAAAATAATAACTGACATTTATGGAACATTTTCCCCTGTGGGGCCAGTAGCGTACCATTAGCCCTGTTTTGGAGATGACATAACCAAGACACATAGATAGGAAATGATTTGCTCCATGACCCCGGAACTCAGCAGTGGCAATTCTGCCAGGATTCAAACTAAAGTTTTCTAACCCCAATTCCAGCGTTCTTTCTACTGCACCACAGCCTTTTCAATAAATATTTGTTGAACTGAATTACATTAATGGAGACAATGAGAGCTGTTTTCTATTTCCTTTTCAGAGCAGGTATTCCTTCCTTGGGCAGTTCGGTAGAGCAGTGGATAGAGCACTGGACCTGGAGTCAGGAAGACCTGAGTTCAAATTTGACCTCAGACACTAGCTGAGTGACCCAAATGAGCTGGAGTAGGAAATGGCAAATCATTCCAGTATCCTTGCAAAAAAAAAAAATTCAACAAAGAGCTGCAGAAGACTGACCAACAATTCCTTTCTTCTTCCCTCCCTCCCTTCCTTCCTATTCCTTCCTTTCTCCCTTCCTTCCTTTCTCTTCCTTCCTTTCTTCCTCCTTTCCTTCCTTCTTTCTTTCCTTTCTTCCTTCCTTCCTTTTTCTTTCTTTCTCTCTTTCTTTTTCTTTCTTCCTTCCTTTATTTCCTTTCTTTCTTTCTTTCTTTCTTTCTTTCTTTCTTTCTTTCTTCTTTCTTTCTTTTCTTTCATACTTTTCATTACTTTGGGAAGAAGGCTTTTTCTAGTCAGGGTAAATCAAATGCTTTCAAATGTGGCAAACCTGAAAACCCCATTTAATGTCTCCCTCCACCTCTGTGTACCATCAGAATTGACAGCAGATAGCTCAGCTTGACCATAATGGCCAGGCAAAATGCAATCATAACTAAGCTTAAAATGGATTCTCTCTTAGCAAAAAGGGCAGCCTGAAAGTTCTCTTCTCTCCTCTGTCTGCCTTCCTTTGTATTCATTTAAATGCAGAGGCAGAGTTGAAAACCCAATCATCCATCTTTCTTCCCACCCTGCTTCACAACATTTGCCTTGAGGCAAGAGAATTGGAATGCTAGCTCTCTTCTATTAATAAGATACACTGCACCTTGATTCTGGGTTTCCTTCTAATCTTTTCAGGAGGAGAAGCAACCTTAATCCCATTCACTCCCTTTCCAAGGATACTAAAAGTTCAGGTACAAAAGTTCATACTTTTTCTGGTCCTTCCTTGTTGTTAATAACCCATGACCCAGTAGCACAGGAGTCGTGGCAAAACAAAAAAGGACTAAGTACCTTCCATTTAGGGGAAGCTAGGTGGCACAGTGGATAGAACACTGGGCTTGGAGTCAGGAAGACCTGAGTTCAAATCCAGTCTCAGACACTAGCTGAGTAAACCTGGGCAAGTCACATAACCCTGTTTGCCTCAATTTCCTTACTGTAAAAAATGAGCTGGAGAAGGAAATGGCGAACCACAACTCCAAATGGGTGTCACAGAGAGTCAGACACTGCTGAAATGACTGAACAACAAGAGCCTCACACTTAGCTGAAACCCTTATACTTTATCCAAAGGCCCTGACTCTTCATAGATGCCACATTCCACTTGATCTCTTTGTTTGAAAAGTAAGGAGTCTAGGCTTAGGTATGCCCTTCCTAAAATTGAAGGCAGCACTGGTTCCATGAAAACATGACATAACTGAAACGATGTTCTGGGGCATTTGGCTCCATGAACAGGGAGCTGAGCAGAGTGGAACTGGGAGAAAATGGTTGAGTGGGTGCAGAGGGTCAGGAAAAGGAGATGGAGTACTGGTGAGCCTAGCAAGTTATAGCAGGGGTGAGGTTCACGATGTCATGGTGGGACACACTTCTAATGTCTTCATGACATGACTGGGGCATTTGAGATATGTCTGTATTCTCAAGCAGAAATAAAGAAATGAAGGAAGAGATTGGGCTGAGTCATAGGATAATTGGTCACAGCTGAAAGGACCTCGGAGACCATCTGGTCTAATGCCCCCATTTTATATACAGGTAAACTGAGGTCCAGGAAGGCTAAGTGACTTGTCCAAAGTCACAAAGGTAGTAAGTGTGGTGTGAGAGGAAGGATTAGAACCAAGGTCCTCTGACTCTGGAACAGGAGCAGGGGTGGAATCCAAGTCTCCAGACTGCCCAGTCAGTGAGTCTGAGAACTCCTGGAAGTCCACCAGTCCTTTAAGAATCAGACACTTCTTTGTGGACTGCACAGGAAATGTACTTGTATATTCTCTTATTAAGGTTATTATATTATCTTATTAATGATACCTCTTTATATAAAAATCAGTTATGTGACATCACTTGAAACCAAAGACTGAGATAACATGGATCTTCCACAACACAACCCTGCCTCCCCTACCACTCTCCTGTCCTATCCCCCAACTCTAGGATTATAGAAACATTTTCACTGTATCTCCCATGAACACTACAGATTCCAAGGTAATTTTGATACCAGGCTGAGAATGGAAGAGTTCCTTCAGGGCACCTGGAAGGGAGACTTGAGTCTTGATCCTGGACAAATCTTACCGTCTCTGTACCTCAGTTTCCTCATCTGTAAAGTGAAGGTATTTGACTCAATGGCCTCCAAGGACCCCGCTAGATTTAAATCTTTGATTCTATGTTTTTAACTAAAACAGCAGGCTTGGCAAAAGGTATCCTTTAAGAGAGAGCTTGGATACAGGATCAAATAAGCTAGATATCTACCTGAGAAGAAGAGAAGCCATTTTCCCCTCCAGCTCTAAAGTCTACAACTCTTTGATTCTAAGAATTTGAATTTATACCTCATGTGAACCCTAATATGCATGTAGTAACTCAATAAACTCCAGTGGTTCCTTATTACTGCTAGGACTGACTATAAAGTTCTCTATATGGCATTTATAGCTCTTAACAACCAGGTCACAACCTGCCTTCCCAGCTTTATTGCAAATTATTCCCCTCCACTCACACTTGGGCATAGTCACATTGGCTTCCAGCTATTCTTCATACTTAGCGCTCCATCTCCCACTTGCGCTGCTTGCACTGGCTGGGCCCCCTCCCTAGAATGTATTTCCTCAGCTCTGCCTCCCATGATCTCTCACTTCCTTCAAGGCTCAAATCAAGAACCATGATGCCTTTCCTGATTTCCATACCCTGTTCCAAGCTGTTAATGTTCTTCCTCAAAACATCGTCTATTATCTATTTTGTGTAAATTTTGCATGGATCAATATGTGTACATGTTATCTTCCTCAGCTAGACTATAAGTTCTTTGAGGGCAGGAGCTATTTTTGCTTTTGTCATTATAACCCTAGAACCTACCATAATGACTGGCACATTTAAGTCGTGTCCAATTCTTCATGACCCCATTTGCGGTTTTCTTGGCTTGCTATTTCCTTCTCCAGTTTATTTTACAGATGAGGAAACTGAGGCAAAAAGAATTAGGTGACTTGCCCAGGATCACACAGCTAGCAAAAGTCTAGGCCAGATTTGAACTCAGATCTTCCTGACTCCAGCCCTGGCACCCTATCCACTGTGCCACCTAGCTGCCCTTATACATAGTAGGAGCTTAATAAGTTCTGGGTGACTGATTATATTACAAAAGCAAAACATTTTTATGTAACCCACTTCTGAAAGAACTCTGTAGAAAAGATTTTAAAATAGTATTTTGTAGTTTTTTGTTTGTTTGTTTAAAGAACATCTGACAAGGGAATAGCAGCATGGTAGAAAGAACAGCCAGGCTGCAGA